ATTTTCTTTATCAGGGTTTTGCAGTTTCTGATAATGAACACAACCTGGGAGACTCTTTTCCTCATGTTTCCAAAATGCATTCTGAGGGTCTAGTGTAGCTTTTATAATCCCATATATTGTAGCTAATGTCAGAAAGCAGAGTGTAAATGGTCTAATACAAGTAATAGGAATTGAGAAGGTAGATACACTGTTTTTCATCTTTCAAAGAAGTCAGAACTGTGTATTTAAGGGGTTGGAAACAGAGAGAACATGCAGGAACCTTTGTAATGATACCTCATGGAAACACTGGTGGGCACTGGTCTAGCTCTGCATTTGTCCAATAGCTACCCAGGCATTAAGGATGCTGGAAAATCACCAACTGTGTGAATGGGTTTAGGGGGGCCCTGCAGGCCAAATAAAGTACTTCGATTAAACATTGAGCTTGGGAGATAGATGGCACATCTTTATAAAGAGCTGCACATGCGAATGGGTCTTGTTAATCAAGCATGAGGTCCAGCACTTCAGTCACTTTTTTTTGGATATATGAGATTTTTCTTGCTAGATTAGGTAATTTCTGAACAATAAGCTTTTACTCCTCTTTCCACCTTCTCCAGCTCCCAGCTTCCTCTTAAATATGATGAGTTTATAAACCTAAGAAAGGAAAAAAGATATAAAAATAGGAACTGAAGGAAAGTGGCCAGTCTTGGTGCCAGCCTCCTGAGTGTCACTTGGCAGCTGCTCCAATGGTCTGTCCCTTTCTGTTGATTCTCAGCCCATGACCTGAGAGGGCACAGGGACCTTGCAGTGCTCTGTAGAGTGGAGCAAGAGACACAATGGCATTTCTGCTTCTCTATCTGTTACTCTCCTTGCAATGATACATTCTGAGCACTTCTTAGTACTTTATTTGCTTCCTTAATTTTATTCATTTTCTTATTGCAGAAATCCATTTTAATTTTTTTTAAACATCTGACTAAAATAATCAACCATCCTCCAGATTTAAAATCATAAAATTAAATTTGATTTCTTGGACTATCATACTGGGCTTGTGTATTGAGCATTTTGTTTCTTATTGCAGAAACAGATGTTCAGTTGTTTATTCAGTCAGCACCTGTCTTTAAAAAGTATTTTTGTTAGTTTATGAATGTCATTAGAGGAAATATCCAGGAATACTTTTCCACCCTTCTAAAGCATTTTCTCAGCTTCACAATTAATACATTTTTGTAAAGCAGTCTAGATACCATCCAAGAGATTGTCTTTCTTTTGAGTTAAAAAAATGTCTTTGTATGTTTATTTTGTGAGAAAGGTCCACATGAAGGTTCTAGTCAATTTAATACCTTCTAAAAAATTTGTCTTCTTGGGAATATAATGAACCTCTCAACTCCAAGAGTAGTCAAATGAAAGAATTCTAGCAGAGATAATGGTAGCCTAAAGTGTTTTGGTTTTGTAACCTAGCAGCTGCTGCTGATAGGTGGTTGTTCCACAGGGATCACAAGAGTTTTAGGCCCTAATAAATAGATTTATTTTTCAGAAGATCTATTGTAGTAGGCAAAGTTATTTGCTGTCTTAGAAGTTGGTACCACATCACATCACATCACATCACATGGTGGTGAACTAAGCAAGTGCATTTGAAATGCAGTTTAATAATATTGCCAGGACAAAAATCACATTGTCAGTATTGTCATATGTTTAAATTTTTGTGGTGATTTTTTTAAAAGTTTCTTTCCAGACAGCTAATGTTGCAGCATGCTCCTGTGATGGTGGCTAAACTCAGACTGTTTTTTAATTAATTGGAAAAATTTCTAATCATGCATATTGAAGCAGTATCCATGATGTCAGTATGTCAGAGGGATGTCAGGAACCATTAGTAGAAGCTGATGACAGTCTTTCAGTTTTCCTTGTCAATTTTTTTCTTCAAGAAATCAATAACAGGTATTTCTCATATATCAAAAATATTAAATAGAGAGTATACATGAGCTTTCTTTTGAGCCAAGACCATTTTAGTGTGAAGGATAACAAAATCTCTTCTGCTTAAAGGAAAAGACAGTGATTCTCCTTAATAGTGATTTCAAAATGTTTGATCCCTGTATTTCTGTCCAGTCATGTGAAACTGGAGCACACTTTTATTCTAAACTCCTGTGAATTTGTGGTGGATATCTGGCTAATTTCCAAGTCAAGCATGATTACAATACTGTGCCTTCAATAAATTTCACAGAACTAATGTAGTCTTCAAAGGCATGAGGGGTTAAAGCTAGGTCAACTGACATCCTTCTTGCACAACAGCATGTCTTCAGTTAATTATGTTGCATCTATATGTGTGTTCTGTGTTGTCATACTGACTAAACTAAGCCTAAAAATACTATAGAAGAAAAAATGGAATTGATGAAGATGAATGCCCAGACTGCCAGCATGGCTTATTTAATAGCTTCTTGAAATGTATTAGTGAGGAGTTTCAGCTCAGAGCCCATTGTCCAATGCTGCAGCAGATCTGTCCTGCACACAAAATCTTACCAAGTGTTAATAAAGATAATAATGTTTTTTCAGGCTAAGCTCTACTGACACATGCATGAAACAATTAGAATGTATCAATCCAGATGAGTTAGACTTCTAACAGTAAGAAGTGTCTACAGAATTACATATTCATTATTTTACCACATCAAACAGATCATAGCAGGAATCACAGAGCTTTTTGTTAGCAAGTAATCCAGTACATAGAGAGTTCTAAACTGTAACAAATCTGCATCATTTAAATGGCACTGTTGAGCCCTCTAGAAGTAGAAGGAAATGTAATAAATTGTCTTGGTGATGATGTAGGAAAGTAACAATATAGATATTGATGTATACATAGTAAAAACAAAGGCTTGCACTCCAGGCAAACCTGTGACACTGTTGGTTTCTTGTTTGTGTGAATCCTGTTCATGCTCATACTGGTCTGAATGTGCACAAACACAACAGTGTCTGCTCAAGAGCATCAGATTAACTGTTCTCTCTACCCCTGTTTGTACTTTAGATAATATGCTCACAGCAATCATTAAGTGCTTGTTCAGGTATGAACAGGATCTCCTTTCACACCAATGAACTCAGTTGTATCCCTGAACATGTTCAATTTATGTATTCATGTCACTAATCACCTGATTTTCTACCTGATCAGTTCACAACCTCATTGCCGCATAGCTGCATGTTGTGGGACAGAAAGTCTGCGTGGCTAATCCCATCGTTTCACCTTCCGTGTGTGCCATCCTGGCTGTGGCTCTCTCCTGTGTACTTCACTGCCAGCAGTGGTCCTGCTGAGATTGTTATCCATCTTTGCTTTTCAGTCCTGCAGGATCATCCCAATGACAGCCAGGTGAGCACAGTCCTGGAGCAAGGACTGCAGGGCATATGATTCAGCAGCTGCAGTTTCCTCACCTGCAGAAAAACGGGACTATATTGCAATGTTAATATGAGATGAATATGATCCAGAAATTTTTTAGCTGCATTTTGCTGCTGTGATGACCTGGACATTTCTTGTCAGAGCGTCAGATATTCCTGGTTAGAACCCCAAACACAGAGCTGCCTGCCTGCCACAACCCTGTTTATAAAGAAGGTGAATTTTAAACACAAGAAAGTTGAAAAGAATATTGCACTAGAGAGGTCCAAGAATAGAAAATAAGTAAGACAAATAATAAAAGCTGTGGTATCAGATGATGCTGCATGGGCTGTTGTTTCTCTTAGTGTTTTGGGAATGAAATTCAAAAGCAGTGGATCCAGGGTTGCCCTCACAACAGAAGACTTTGAATTTACTGTCAGTCCAGTAAATACTGCTTGGTACTTCTAGTTTTGGGGGACATTTTTGTGTTAAGAACTCTTCTGGTGTAATGCAATGGCCTTTTGGGGAAGGATTAGCTGATTGATTCAGGGTAAAAGCCATATGAGGGTCTTGTCCAGGGGCTGTGCCCCTGTTCTGTGCTTGTCAGGCTGGATTGCAGCTGTGGAGCTTGGGGCAGAGCACTGCATTTGGCAGCACTGTATTTCTAGTTCTGTTTGTATTGAGGGGCCTAAATGATCCATATGAAACACTGACTAGTGTCTCAGTATATTAGTTCTACGTTTCTTATGCTAATTTAATTATTTACTTGTAAGTAGATATTGTTTGAAATTCCATAGATACAATTCATTAGCAGCCACAAGCAGATTATCACTATGCATTAGCACATAATGAGCTATTTATTATTTAACAAAAATGTAGAACTATAAAATAGCCTATTAAAATATTTGTGCATATCTCTGTTTAGATATTTGATTAATGAGAAAGTCTCACAGACTAATAGAAATGAAAGAGATATTTGCTCATCTAGAGGTGCTTCTAACACTCAGTAGCACTAATAGGAATGTTCTGTAGACACGGAGATCTGGATGAGCCCATGTCCATTACTTCTCCCCAGAAATGGAGTCTGTGCCTGTATTTTGTTTTGAGATTGCACTCAGAAAAACAGGAAGAGGTGCACATTGAAACCAAGATAATGTTCAACATTACTTCCATATCATAGATGATGTGTGAAGCCATTCAGTTCATTTTTCTGTTATGAGATAAATGCTCTGCATCATAGAAATGAACATGCATGTATTTTTGGCTGATCCTTTTACGGCAAATTCAGATTAATGCTTTTGGTGCTTCAGTCTAAAAATAATCCTGCAGAAAAAAATCCTAACAACATAATTCTTTTGACATTTTATAAACAAAGCTTTAATTTTGTTCATTCATTGTTTTTTTTCCCTCAAAATTTATTTTACATTTATTACTTTATTTCCTGTCTGCTGATATTTCTTCTTCCTGAATAATTGGCTTGAACCAATAATGGAATGAGTGAGAATGTTAAAATGCTGGATAGTTTGGAACAAGAACTTGCTTTGCTGTGGTAGGAGGAGCTGTGTCAATAAGCTACAGATGCTGAGTTAATGAGGATTTTTTGGTAAGCAGGTGGGTGGTGGGAGTGGTTCTGCATACGAAACAAGGAGAGGACTAGGAAAGGCAGGGAGTAGGAGGGCTGTGGTTGGTGCTGATTGTGATGCTGGTACTTGCTATTACTTTGGATCCATTAATTAACCATTATGTGAGTTTTTTTGATTGTTTCATTAAGAATCCTATTCTTTGGTTTTCATGTTGCAATGAGTGTGCTTTGGGGATGTATTTAGCAGACTATGATAATTTGAAAATTTTAGAATGATTCTCAGTGGAAAGACTGAGGATTGAATGGAGCCTAGAGACTGAGTGATCCTTAAAATTGAAACAAACATTGATTCTTAATTGAACTTTGTTATCCAGGGAACTTTGGTAGACCAGATTTTAGGAGGAAATCCTGCTGAAGAGAATAGGGATGGTGAAGTTTCATTTGCTACTTCAAGAGAAGCTGGTGACAAAGTTCTTGGTGCTATACCTTATAAAAAACTCTCCTGCTAATCTCCAGAAGGTCTTTAGTTGCTGATGGCCTGAGGATGTACCCAAAGGATGTACCTCCCTGTACCCAAAATGTAGGATTTGGTAACTGTAAGAAAGAAAAATGCAGTATCTACAATTAGTGTAATTATTTAAATAAGGAAGAAAAAAATTAATTTTACCTTAAGAGACAGGGAATTTCTACTAAAGCATTCATATTTTGTAAGCTCTTTGGATTTATGTAATTTTGTAATTTATTTGGCTACCACAAGTGATGAGTGAGGCATGGAGTATTTAGTCTGTATTTCCTGATAAAAGTCATTCCAGGAAGGGAAAGGGCTTTCATCCATCCAAGAGAAGGGATACAATTTTAAAAACAAGCAAAAATGTAACTGTCAGAACTCCAAGTGTTGGCTTTGATTTGTACATTGTAGTTCCAAATAAAAGACAAAGATGGGCTTTTTTTTTAATACTTATGCCTTGTCTCTTTATAAAACAAATAGATTTGTAGAAGAGCAATATTCGCACCAACAGCATGCATTAAATAACCTTAACCTTAAAATAAGAATGTATTTTGAGCTTTGAATAAGGAAACAGGTGGGATTCCTTGACTGTGCTTTTAACTATGTTATTGAAGGGGAAAAATGTGCAGTTAGTAATTTCTTTGCCAGTTTCTTCTTAATCTGTAATTAGACAATGCAGTTACTAAATTTATGCTGTTGCAAAAACCAAATATTTTTGGATGCTGCTTGTTAGATTAATGAGGTTTACTTGGCTAAATCAAGGATGATAGAATAGTACATGGCTCTGATGGACTGCAACTCTGCAACTAGCTGAGCCTCCCACAGAGTGTCACCTACCTTGAGAATATGCCTTTTAAAGGAAAATAGTTTTCTTTTTTCTTCAAGAATTGCAGACTATATAAAAGCAGTTTTGCAAAATTCATACACTGCTGTGGGGGACAAGTCACATGAATGGGTGCTTAGAAAGAAGCACAGATTAAAACATTCAGGATACCATTTCTGTAAACTATAATTTGGAAAGCTGCAAGCTCTGTTCTGTAATCAGTGAAATTATAAGCATGCAATTACTGTTTTCTTTATTAAGCTTATATTTCAAAATAGTGTTGCAAATCATCTTGTCTCCAAATAATATCAACAACTCCTCCAACTCATCAGGACAGTGTTCAAATTCATTTCTGCCAAGGTCCTCTGGCAGGTTTTTCTATGGGAGTAGCCACAGAAAAAGTGGGACACTGCAGAAATTGTATTACAATGTCCAGTGGTTATGAATTTGACCTATCGTGGCAGGATGTGCAGATAAAATTATTCTTCAATTAGGCTGCAGTTATGAATCTTTCCCTGGGTCTGCCTGCAGTGATTAAATATATTTGTTTTCACAGCACAGAGTAGAAAGTGCCTGAATCTGCCATAATCAGTGCCAGTTGTTGTAGCTCAGACCATCTTCAGTGGTGCACTTGGCTGATCATCACTGCTCTCTGCTGCCTCTTCAAACCTGCCTGCAAATCTTTGTGCTTGTGCTCCATAACGAGTTTCCACAAAAGTGATTTAGCAGATGCCGGGACTTTAATCTGTTTGATAAATTGGTTGACCTAACCTGAAGTAAATTAGAAAGTTGTTCTGCTTGCAAATTGAAAGCAAGTTTGAAATAACACTTCTGTTTGCAACCTGAGGGGTTGCATTCCTAAGAAAGATTTTTGTCCTCCAAGAAGTTATGTAGATCAAGCCTTAATACCCAGCACAAAATCTTCCTCAGATTCCCAGAGAAGGTGGCACTGAATAGTACCTTTGTGGGAATTCAGGGCAGATCAGAGGTCTTGTAATCACTGTCATGATAATTCTTTACTATCAGTCGAGAGATAAGGTTTAAGGCACTTCTGGAAATTACTTTTAAGATGTCTTGAGTTGAGCAACTAATAAATGAGACTCTTTAGGTTAATGAATGCTTTTAAATACTCGGGGGTTTGTATCCTCCGGAAAGACTGCAAGGCCTGCCAAGGCTGAGGCTGCTCCAGGATGCCTGGCATACACAGCACATGTAGTATTTCCTAATTATGCACACCAGAACTTGGACTAATGCTGCTTTTACCAAGTGCCTATGTGGTTTGATTTTGTTAGCTGAAGTCTTTTAAGAATGCTATTGAAATCCTGATCTACAGGAGTCAGTGCTTTCAATTTCTTCCGCATACATTAGTCACTAGACTGTTGCTGCAAATTTCCAAAGGACGACTCTTATTCATATGCAAACTAAGTTAGGGGTTGAGGCATGAGAACATACCACTTCTTTTTGCATTGAACTTTCAGGCCTGAGAAATCCTAATGTGCACAAGAATATCTCGGAAGTGTTCCGAGCTGCACCCGCTGGGAGAATTGGTGCTCAGAGATTCATCAGCAATAAACTCTTCTGCCATCACCATTTGCTTTAGAAGACTCATTTTAACAAAAAAAGTGTCAGAGTTCCAAGTGGAGTTAAAATCTAAAGTAAAGTCACATATGTAGTATAATGGTACAGGATTAAGGAGACCTTGAAAAGATTCCAATAGGTTTACTAATTTTATTATCATTCTGCCCTTCAACCCCAAATTATCATTTTCTCTTTAGAGAAATATGCTGCTGTTGTGAAGCAAATGAATATAGGTGTTTGCAGCCCTAGATAATATTTATCAGTTGGTGTACAGTAGGGAGCTTCTGACTTTGAATGGCAGCAGTAACAATACTTGGTATTGCATTGAACTATTTGCTGAAGAACTGTGATGATATAAATGCAGACTTTGAAATAAAGGGAAGAAGGAAATGTTGATGTGAATTTACAAAGTGGATGGGTTTGCTGCCCTCCCAAGATTTGTATTGCTGAGTAGGAATGACTTGTTTTAGTGTAATATTCACTTGAAAATATGTGTTTGAGCAAGTTTTGAAATTTTGGATGTATTGAGCAAGTGCTAGGCTCTGTTAGCTTGTTCTCAGTTTTTTAAGGATATATTTATTTCTTTGGAAACTCTGTTTATGTTTAGATGTTGCACTATCATGTTCTACCTGCCACCTGCTGTTACTCTTTTTTACTTAACTTCCCTTGCAATTTGTGGTTGGTGGTTGTGTTTCTAAATAGGTGGGATGATGATCAAAACAAGGCTCCCACAATCATTTAATTCAAATTGTTTGCTTTAGCAATCCCAACAGTCCTGTAGGCTTGAATTTAGGTTTATTTTCAAGAATGCTACATGGCTTTCTAAGGCTTTCTTTTCTAAGCTCTTGATGTTTCATTTCATAAGAACACATTTCTCAAATTCTGAATCTCTCCTTTGAAATAAGTTTCCACTGTTTATTATCTTTCATGAAAAAATTCAGATTATAATATTTATAAATGGACAATCTGGACTCATTAAATTATATCTTTGATAGGTGTCAGAGGCATTTAAAAATATTAGTATGTCACTCAGGGTGGTTGCTTTGTGGTCAAGGCAAACATCTGTGCTTTGATTGTGTGCCTGCAAAATCCTGTTTGTTCTTGAGTCTTGAGGACATTCACAAGAGCAACCAGACATTTTGAATGCTAATGAGATTGTGGCCTTAATTTAATGTCCTTCTCAAGCTCTGTCCTTAAAAATGGTTTTCAGACTTTTTCCTTTGTTCCTTGGTATGGTTGTTTCTGTCCTCTGTGTGTAATATAATCTTTGCCTGCTTTTTTTTCAGAATGGAAATAATTCAAGATTGTTCCATTGTGACCATTTTTAGGTAGGGAGGCAAAAAGAAGGATTTTTTTCTGAACAGGATTAGAAAATGTGCTCAGGTTTGTTGATATTCAATTGTTATTGTAATATGGCTTTTTTAACTCGGTTAAAACCCTTTGAAAAATGAAAATACTCTTCCATAACAGATTTAGTCCTGAGATACCTTAGTTACACAATTTCTTTGTAAGTAAAAATTTATTTTAATTCAGCAGAAAATGGTGACATGAAGAGTGTTTGAAAGCTGAAACCAGACAGGTTGAGGTTGGATGTTAAATATAAAATATATATGGGAGAGGGGGATACTGGAACATACAACTGAAGCTCTGGGGTGTGGTGGATTCTCCACTGGTGTTTGTGAAGTTAAGATTGAAAATAATGCTTTAATCACATACAAGTTATTTGGCCCAGTGCAGGAATAACTGGCTGAAATGTAATGGTCTGGGAAACACACAAGGTCAATATGATCTTATGGATTTTTCTGGCTTTATATCCTGGAAATGAGAGTTGTAAAAATGTATTACTTCACATTCCTCTATATCAAAATAAGGTAACATTTTATTCTGTGTTTGGTTCAAAGTTGGAGCGGCTTTGCTTTTTTTTCACCCCTCTCCTGCAGGGCCAGTACTGCTCTCAGAATCATATATCTGTAAGATGTGTATTGAGCACAGAAGTAGCCCCAGGCCAGTAGCTTTTGTAATTTCTTCTGGGCCCTGGTGGTCCATACAGGAGGCAGCTGAGACCTTAATAGACTTAACAGGCTTGACCCAAGCATGAAATGTAACTTCTGGCACCAAAGGCTTTATTAACCAGTGGATCATATAGTTAGAAACCTATACAAGCTACCATAAAATACCTGCTGGGATTTATTTCTGTGATTATGTTAGGTGTTGGTTTGAACCAGTAGTCTAGAGAGAAAATTCTTCCTCCAT